CTTAATCTCCTTTAATCATTAAACCTTCCTTCTTTATACACTTTACCGGCACGTGAAACAGCAGTCTGGGTCCTCTATGCTGTCGTAGAATCCTCTCAGGCAACCACGCTTCCCATTACCGTAAAAACCTGAGCAGGATTTGAACACTGTTTTACATATTTTACACGCTTTTATTTCAAAAGGCACCCGCAATTCAGCCTTTGATGTTTCACTCCATTTTCCCCAGTTCACAACACCTGTAGCCAAAAACACACAAAACAGAACTCTTTCATATGCACATCTAAGATTGTTAGCCGTGACAGTGCTTTAGAAAAAGCAAGATTACTTAAAGCCAACCTTATACTCATGAGGCCTTATGCATACTTCATTGCACACATTTAAACCTTAACACACTTACCGTCAAGCCATGCATAGTGTGAAGGCCTTCTGTCTGAACAGGGCCTTGTTTACAATTGCACTAAAGCAACTGCAAGTAAGAGACAGATTCATGTAGGCAGCATCTCCATCCTGTAGCACTACTTCAAGGAGTATCATCTCCAAGACCTCCATGGGTAACTGGAAAGTATTTATAAAAGGATTAATCTATCTGCTTGAATGGAATATTACAGTATTCCAGCACAAAATAAATCTTACACCCAAAAGTTGCAACCCTGCAGTCCTTTTGTGCTTTTGTGCCTAAAATGATAGCAAAGAATATAAGTCAGTCTATATATGGTAAGAGAAGGAAAAAATTAATGTCTCATACATTCATACATTCTTTTCAGTATGCCTCATTTGTCTTTTTGTTGCCCGTCTTTCTTCATCAGACCTGCAATAAAAAGTAGTACAGACAGGTATGTGTAATGCAATTTTTAAATTATGTAAATAAAACGTTCTCTCAAACTCCAAGGAAAAGCTAAGTTTTTGATCATTGAAGCTTCAATGGTTTGTATAATGTGATCATGAAAAAAGAAAACAAACCTCAAGGGGAAATTCTCCAAAAGCAGCAGACACCACCACCTCCTGATGCAAGGCACGTCAGGCTAAAATAAAAATAAATTACCTTTTAATAATATGGGTGTTTGCCATTGCATATTTCACTTACCTCTGTAAAAATCAAAGGCCCCTGCTGTCACAAAGCTCAGTGAATACTGAAATGGTAAACATTACAAATATATTTGCTAAGATACATATACTGGATAAACATCTAGTAAGCAACACATCCTTGTAGTCAAACTACCTTGAAAAAGTAAAACAATTTCCAATGCTTCTACAGTTATTCATTTTAATGATTATTGGTACCGTAATATCGTTAACAGTATTCATGCCAAGGCCCAGGAGACAAGATTTGTGCAACGTTTCTGAGATGACAAAGACAAAACAAAGAACATAACTTAAACAGTTATAAGAGACAAAACAATACAAGAGAACTGAAATGTGGGGCAGAACCTGAACTTCCCATGAGTATTATATGACCATTTTCATTGACAGTTTACAAAAAAAATAAATAAAAGTGATCTGTAAAAATAATTTGATCCTAACTCCAAAACCATTTAAATAAGCCTACTAAAAATAAAAGTCAGATGAACAAGTCACTAGCTGATAAACCTACATGTAGTTAATAACAGCCACAGTTTTATTAAAATGTGGTTAGGAACGACCACAATTTTAACTAAATGTGGTTAAGAACGACCACAATCTCTGAACTCCGAACAGTGCACTATAAAACCTGTAGATGAGCATGTATTTTTCCTGACTGAATGTTTGGCCGTGTAGAGGATCAAGGAAAAAAAATGTCATGCTCTCCTGGGTTCATAATCTGTTGATATATCACAATATATACACAGAAAGAAGACGACAGCAGTTTACAGATAAAAAAGTATCTAAAAATTATGCAGACATAAGTTATCCCAGATAAA